GAAACTTACCTCTTTAATGTGAAACCTGTGCTTGTTTTTTGCTCAATTCTCTGCATTAACAGTGTTCTTAAACTAAAAACAAAGAATGAAACTTACCTCTTTAATGTGAAACCTGTGCTTGTTTTTTGCTCAATTCTCTGCATTAACAGTGTTCTTAAACTAAAAACAAAGAATGAAACTTACCTCTTTAATGTGAAACCTGTGCTTGTTTTTTGCTCAATTCTCTGCATTAACAGTGTTCTTAAACTAAAAACAAAGAATGAAACTTACCTCTTTAATGTGAAACCTGTGCTTGTTTTTTGCTCAATTCTCAATACTCAATTCTGGGGTGAACTTGAGTTTTAGAGATCAGTTGTGGGAAATTTTTGGCCTTTGTGGGTTGTGTTTTTGGGGGCTATTTTGGGCTACTTTTAAGGGCGTGTACAGTTTTTGAGCGATATATTAAACTGTCATGAATGATACTGCAAAATGCACTGCAGGGACACAGATGACGCTGGCACACTGAGTTGGGTCGGCCGGCGTCCTCCCCTCTCCCTACACCACAGGCACCTTGTTCCCCAAATCCAGCTTCTCCTTTCTCACCCCCCTTTCCACTTCCTCTCCTGGGGACCCCTTTGCAGAACTAGAGGGGGGCTGACACCTTGCAACCTCCAACACCCCTCCCCTTAACATCTGGACTCCTCAACCTCTTCTGAAATCTTGGCATCCTGATGCCAAAGCCTTCACCACCACCACCAGAAAGGCAGGTGTGCACCGGCAAGGGGAGCCCTAGCATGAAGGTCCTGGTGTCATCTCCCTCTCACACACACTCACTTCTCATTCCTTGGCTCGCACTTTGCTCACCTCCCACTTGCACACACTGCAAGCCCCACACCCACCGAGGGTATGCACGCGCTCCAGCAGGCCAACCCAGTGTTGGAGGTTGGAGGGTTTTTGCTTGGTTTTTGTCTCTGCTTTTTAAAAATAAATCATGATCTCCCCGGGAACCACTAGTAACCTTTTGTGGAACCCTAGGGTTCCCCAGAACCCTGGTTGAGAAACCCTGGCTTATGGACTGGCTATCTGATGTGTAATGTGTTTCTGATAGCTGCTTCAGTGCCTGACAATGAAAGAATACTATTATTGTTCCCTAAACAAAGGGAAAGGTAGCAAGAGTGAAGGTAGTCTCTACAAGGGGATTAATTTGTTAAGTATGCTTGGGAAGGTGTTTGACAGAATTCTGATAGAAAAAGTATAAGATGACATTAGCAAAATTCAGGAAAAGCTGTATGACTTTATGGTGAACAGGATATACGCGGAGGTTTTTGCTTTTCATTATGTTTTTGAGAAATGTATGAATATAAAATCTACTGCATATTGCTTGATACACAGAAAGTATAGGATATAGAGAATAGGCTTGAATTATAGAAAGTTTAGTGCAAGTATGGAGTTGAAGTTTGGTTGCTAAATACAGTAAGAGACATATATAATGGAAATAAAATATGCATTAGAATATACTGAATGATTATCAAATGGTTCAACGTTAGGCAGGGAGTAAGACAGATGTCTAATGTCTACTTGATTCTTTAATGTATTTATGAATAAATGTATAAGGAAATGTGTGTCGTTAGTTGAGGTGTGATGGCCGGAGACATGAAAGTACCTATATGTTTATATGCAGATGATGCCATGTTGTTGGGGGAAAACCAAAATGATCCATGTGAATATTGGATTGCAGACACAATCTAACAGTGCCTGCATACGTCAAAATTAATATATCAAAGACCAACGTAACTGCAGTTGACTAGAAGAATGAAGTAAAACAATTGCAAGTTTTGTGTAAATAGCAAATGGGTGGAGAAATTACAATATGTGCAAATTTGGGGAGAAAAGAGTTGACACCAACTTGATAGAACATAATCAATGTGGTCTGTTGTGAAGCATCAATGTTTGTTGAAAGAAACAAAACTGGCAGTATAAAAGAGTGTTTTTCTGTCCACTTTATTATTCAGAAGTGAGAGTTAGGTATGTCAAAAGAAGCATACATTAAATGTGGTGGAAATAGGTTAATTATGAAAAGTACATAGTAAAACAAGAAGATACACTGTCAGAAATCAAAGGGTATTGAATGAACATAGATTAAGTACAAAAGTGAGCAACCCTTTCAAAAGAAATTCACTGGTTTGGTGAGGATAAATGAGAATCAAACTGGAAAATAAAATATGAAATATGAGTGAATGGGCTGAGAAGAAAGGGAAGACAGATGAAAGTTGTGATTGGATGGAGTTTATGAGGTCCTCAAAAAGAAAAAGGTGAAAAGGTTAAAATATAAAAGATAGTGTATGAAATAATGTATGGATAGCGTGGAAATAAGCATGGTTTGCAAGGATGGAGCATTACAGTACAAACTAGTTTTAGTATAAAACTAGTTTTTAAACTTGGTATAAACTAAAAACTAGTTTTTAAACTTTGGTCTAAACTAGTTTTTAAATTTGTTATAAACTAGCTTTACTTATATTTCTTTTTCTCATCTCATGCCTTTAATTTCTTTACCTACTCCCTTTCTATTCTCTGCATTACGTTGCTTGCCCTAAAACGCAGTATTATGATGAGTATGTTTATATGTAAATAACTCCTGGATAATTATTTCAGGTAGGAAAAAGAGGACACAGAAAATCTAGTGTAAAAGATTTAAAGGTGTATTTAAAAATAATACTTAGTCAGCCCTACAATCTAAAAGGGTATTGTGTAGTCTGCCATCTACTCTCTCTTATATTAAATAATTTTCTGAACAGATAGTAAATAAAAGAATAAATACCCTTTTCTTATAAAAAGTATTATTTGGTTACTGCAGATCCATTGACTGAACTATGATTTTTTTTTCCTTTTAGTTGTGCTGATATTTCCTGAACATTATTATAATTGTTTATCAGGCTTTAGATAATTAATATGCTTTCAGCATTTTAAATAAACTGCCAACATAGTTACAATTTAGTAACAATAGCTCAGTGGACATTAATTTTTCTAACTGATTTAAATATATCAATTCAATCAATGAATTGCTAAGCTTCATATCAAAAACAAAACAGTATTTTTTCATGTATAAAAACATGACTTTTCTTTAGCTATAATCTCTGGACATGAAAATGAAAAATATATCTCATAAAGGATATATTTATGAGAAGCATGAAAACAGCAACTGTACTATTCTGTAAAAATATCCATTATTCTACTATTAAATGAAAACAGCTATCCTATTACTTCTATTAATAAATCAAACTATGTTTGAGACAATTCTAATTCCCTAAAATATAATACAAGATTCCTACATTATACTGTAGATCTGAAAAACTCTGTGCAACTTGAAAGCTTGTTAAGATGCCAGCCAAATCTGTCTCTTTGGATCTTGTCAATATGCTAAAAAAAAAAAAAAAACTATGGAGCTCTCTTCTGACAATGGCTTCTTTAGGTTTTCAAAATTTGTTTTAACAGACAGACAATTAAGACCATACAGCATACTTTCACTGGCAATGCAAAATGAGAAAGATATAACTCCTTAAGTATAGAAATAAATGAATTACGAATGTTTCAAAATATTGTTATTAAATGACTGACTATAAATTCCAGTACATTGTTAAGCTTTTCAGCATTTTTAAATAAAGGAAATGTGAAGGACAGTCAATTTTACACTCCAGTAAGTATCATTACTTTTAGCTGTTATAATTTGCAGAATTCCTGCCCCTTTCACTCACTGTGCTTTGTAATTCTTTGGCTGGGTTCATGTAATATGCTAAATCTGAATTAACAAGTGTTGCGGCCACATAACAAGCAAAGCCCCATGTAAACAAGCCATATTATCGTTTACCATGTTAAATCAACAGATTACCCAATCCCAACACATTGTATGAATCCAGCTTCAGAAAGAACAGTATTTCATATTATTTTTATTAGAAAACCTAAAGCCATGCTTTTAGAGAAACTATAATTTCTATTTTAGAAGAAAGTTCTACTGTGGAAAACTATAGAATAAGATAAATGTATGTTCTATCTTGAGAAATGGCTGGGAGAGAGGATTCACTCAAAGAATTGATCGCTTTTGACAAGTGCAGCGGCTCTGCTCTGGACCAACGTGAAAACTTCAAATCATTCGGATACCTCCTGTTCACTGGGTTTGAAATGTTGGTTTTTTCCCTAGTGTGCTGACGAGGGAAAAAGAAAACCCGGAAAACAGATAAATCATATACAAATGCCCGGGAAGAATCAGCCAGCCACCAGAAACACGGGAAGATCCGCAGGGTGATATGTGTGAACCCAGAGAGAAAAGAGGGTTAGTAGGTCAGGGGCAGTTCAGGAGGTGGGAGGGCCGGTCTCTTTCCCCTCGGGAGGGAGGAGAAGGCCGGTCAGAAGCGGGCAGACCAAAAGAGGAGCCAAGGGAAGGCGAGCAGCCCCGAGTCCTCGGGAGGAGAGGCACAGAGACCGGGGCTTCGGCAGAGGAATCTCGCCCAGCAGCTCCAGAGCCACACAAAGGGGACTCGTCGCGGCCTCCTGTCTTCCCTTCCCGCGAGCGCCGCTTGCTTTCCGAAGCCAAGCCAAGCCCGGCCCCTCACCCTGAACTTACCCAGCCAGCCCCGCTGCTGCTGCTAATCCTCCGCCTCCTGCAGCCGCGGCCGCGCCCAGTCCCCGCCGCCGCCACCGCCCCCCCCGCCCTCGCGCCCCC